TCCCATGGGGTTTTGGTTGTTGGTTTATGGTTGGGTGGGTGGCTGGTTTGGGGCGCAGCGCGGTACCATTTGAGTCATGCTCCCAGTCACTTGGCTCTAGTTTTCAGATAGTCTTTCGCTTGCTTCAGCCCAGGAGTCTCCCAGCTCTGCCGGGAGGATTACATGCCTACCTCCTCACACCACGTCCAGCTTGTTCGTCCTCATGGGATCAAGCTAATGGTTTCCTTAGCTGGCCTCCAACCTGGATCCTTCCTTAGAGTTTTGACCCAAACAAGCACAAGGGACATCCTGGGCTGGAGGCCTGTCTGGTGCTTCTTTTGCCCAACCCACTTGTCTCCCGAGCAAAGAGATGTGGAGCTCCTGGCCCAGACCAAACAAACCAGACCAAAACAAACAGGAAAAGAGCCTGGCTTTGGTTTGGGCGGAGAGGGAGGGAGCTGGCTTTGGGAGGCTGGCGGGCCGGAACACACTGGGGTTGAGACCAAGCATGAACTCCAGCCCAGCTAATATGGTGGTCACTGGGGCATGGATTGCATAATTTCTCTTCTTTTGGATCAGAGCCAAGCGTGAGGATTTCGCATAACTATGGGAAGAGAGGAACATAGCCCCCATCTTTGGACGGGGGTGGGGAGGGGAGACAATGGGGGGAAAGAGAGTAATGTGCTTTGTTTTTAATGTAGTTTTCTCAGGGCTGTTAAGCTGGGCTAAACTCATGATGGAGGAAAATGTCATTTATTTATTCATTTGTTCATTTATCTACTTATTGTGTAGCACTAGAGTTTGAACTCGAGGCCTCGGTGGTGTCCCTTAGCCTTTTCACTCCTGGTACTCTACCACCTGAGCCACACCTTCTCTACTGGCTTTTTGCTGGTTACTTGCTGGTTACTTGGAGATAAGAATTTTGTGGGCTTTTCCCTACTGGGCTGGCTTTGAACCTTGATCCTCAGATCTGTCTCCTGAGTAGGTAGGATGACAGTGCTCAGCAATATCATTCCAAAATAAAGTTTTGTGTAACTACTAGCCAAGTCCTAGTCGTGGGTTCTAGAGAGGTTTGTGAGTGTCCGGGTCGTTCTGAAGTCCTTATCCCTAACCACAGCCGAGCCACTGGCAGTTGGAAGAACCACAAACCACCATCCGCCCTGGAGCTGGAGTGTGGGTCTTACAGCGGTCCTCAGAACGCCTGGCCTGGCGTGCTGTGTGTGGCTTTGCCTGCTGAGCCAGGTGAGCAAAAGCCAGCAAGAAGTCGTTTATCTCCAGCTCCAGGTCTGTGGCTGAGCAGGTCAGCAGGGCACAGGGTCTCCCAGCTCCACCCCTGACCCAAAGGTCCAGCCCAAGCCCGGGGGTGAGGCAGGATTCCAACACCACAGCCAGGCTCACAGCCTCCACGCCCACCCCACCCAGCACTGCAAGGCTCTGATGTTGCTGACTTTGTACCAAAGTAAAAGCTGAGGTGGTAGTGAGAGAGGTGAGCTGCGTATGCAGAGCCTTCTGAGGTCTTGTCCCGGCATCTACCCGGGCGGCTCCTGCCTCTCACATCGCTGGGCTTATATGTGGTAGGGCTTTGAGTTCAAGAGAGGTTTAATTATTTCAAAGAGAGCCAGGCACCAGTGGCTGCGATCCTAGCTACTCAGGAGGCTGGGTGAACTGTGATGTGAAGATCACAGTTCAAAGCCATCCAGGGCAGGAAAGTCTGTGAGATCCATCTCCAATAAACCACCAAAATACCTAAGTGGTGCTTGGCTCAAGTAGTAGAGCACTTGCCTTGAGCTGAAGAGCTGAGGGACAGCGCCCAGGCCCAGAGTTCAAGACCAACAAATACATATATATATATGTATATACACATATATGTATATATACATATATATGAAAGCTGTTGTCTAACTGGGGATGGCACACAGGCTAATAAATCTCAGCGATGGGCAAGACTATAGGACAAGGATGTTAGCAGTTCCCGTGCAACAAAAAAAGGCTGGAGCAGGATCATGGGTCAAGTGGTAGAACACCTGCCTAGCAAGGAGACCTGAGTTCAAATCCCACTGTTGCCAAAAAGAAAACAAAAAGAGGGGAGGGAGGGAGGGAGGACGAAATCTCCAGGGCAAGTAGGTTCTAGAATCTGAAGCATGAAATTCCCAGCGAGGATTGGGGATCCAGGGCCCCTGGGAGAGGGGTCGGGGTGGGCGCTGGGCCTGGGCTGCCGGGTGCACCCCGTGGGGCTCAGCCGTTCTCTCCCCTGCAGGCCCCGCGGCGGGGGGGGGAGGAGGGGGCCTCGACCTGGGAACGCCCAATAAGGAGAAAAACAACACAACGCACTCGGTAGGTGAGGGCTAAGCCTAGAGTGATTGCCAAGCGGAAGAAACCGCAGCTTCACCGCGTCCCGACGGCCTGGGAACCGTGGGAAGCGGGGCTGCGGGAGGCCGGGGCTCCCCGCGGGCGCGGCCCTCCTCCCCGCACCCGGGC